TCGTGTTTTATTTCTGGAGTATCATTGAGCTGTTCAGGTTTGTGGGATTTTTCCATTTGCAGGTGTGGGCAGAAACATCTAGTTCTTTGCAAGAATTCTGTAGCCTTCCCTAGGTTACTCAATCTGCCAAAAGTTGGGATGAGATGGGAGCCTAGAAGATAATACTACCCTGAGTTAAGGATAACCTCTTGCTTTCCCTCGGGAAATTCAGCCCTCTAGAAGTATTCTTAAATTGAATGATTACTTCCTTAATCCTTTACTTAATTAAAGGATTAAATGAGATGCACTGTGCTCTGTTTCTCTTTAAAAAGTAAAGTATTTTAAAGGTTTGTTAGGCAAGTGAGGCAGTTAAATTCATCCGTATGATTAGAGTAACAGCATTCTGTAATCTACCAAATAATGGTGTCCAAAAAAAAAGTGTCCATCATAAGCAACAGGTACATTTTTTAAATATTCTTGTGCTGCTTGGGAATTACATTGATTATTCTATACTGCATATACGTGCAAGACTAATTCTATTAGCAGCTTGCATTTTAAATGCTGTTTCTTCTAACACTGAATTGGCTTTAGGTATCCATATTACATGCTTTCATGCATTGGTATTGAATGGAAACCACTTACCTGGCTCCGTTACACCACCTGGATCCCTCTCTACCCTTTAGGAGGCTTGGCTGAAGGTATTTAAAAAAACCTGTAATAATCAAGATTAAGGCTGGGCAAATAATTCCATTTTTGGTTTGGCTGCTGGACTAAAAATTAATAGAATAGAATAACAGATAAATAGCCCTTTGCTTTGAGCTGAACCAAATGTAAGCGTTTTTATCTTTCTTACTGAACCAAACATTTTCTCAATTTAATGTGAACAGAAGTCATCGTTTTGGGCACTGGAGAGGAAAGTAAAGGCAACAAAAGGTTAGCGGAACAAAGTGACCAAGCGTGCGCTGCAGACCATGCAAGCGTTACAGGAAGACAACGCTCGCTTCCCTCTGCTGATCCGAGGCACTGTATTTGCTTTTGTCTGCTAGACCTGACTTGGTCAGTCTAGCTTGGGTTCACACCAGCTTACCAATTTTGATGTTATCTTGTAAATCATTGCACAGGACAGGCAGGGGCTGATTGTTCCCCTGAAAGCAGCACAGCCTGTTTCTGAGACAGGCACGGTGCTTGCCTGATGGGGCTCTGCTCCCTTGCTGCTTGCTCTGAGAGTGTCAGCTCCATGGAGAGGTGGGCCCCTAGTTCTCTTGCTGCCCCTCCTCTAGAGGGGAGGGGGCTTCTCGGCAAACTCTGCTGTCTTAACGGGTCTGGATTTTCTTTTTTTTAAATTTTTAATATGCATATCACTGCTCAGCTTCTAGATGTAGGAAATGTGTTGTAATCATACCTGTCAGAGCCTGTTTCTATGAGCCAGGAGTAGGCAGTGCATTGCCCAACCCCAGGTAGAGGAAAGACTATGCCTGTTTCATTGCTGTGGGCATTTCTGCACGGTAAATACTGCTGGTGAAAGCTCAGCCAGCCAAGTAGTTGTGTGCAAGAAGTGTCTCACCAGGCAAGTTTATCGTGCTGAGACTTTTATGGCTAAACTACTGCCTGAGCTACCTGCTTACCATCATACTGCATGTCTAAAGTTAGCTTTAAAATGGGTTCAGAAGTAACACAAAATAATGAGAGCTAGTAAATAAGGGAACATCTTTACAAAGTCGGTGGGGGCTAGGCAACCGTATATCCTACTTGTTTGATAACCACATCTTTCTGTTTGCAGCTGTCTGTCTCATTCAGTCCATTCCAATCTTCAGTGAAACAGGGAAATTTAGTCTGGGATTGCCAAATCCACTGAATGTCACAATCCAGTTTTCATTCTTGCTTCAGTTATACCTTATAGCCTTGTTTTTAGGTAAGATACTTAATTGTATTTCTCACTACTGAAATTAAAAGGCCAAATTTCTCTAAGTATATTTCTCCTAGAAAAGTTAAATTTCTGTATTTCTGGGATCATGCAGCAAAAAATTGTTTGAGACTAAGCACTGTCCTGTTTCTTGTTTTATATAAGTTGTCAAAGATAAGGGGAACACACCTACAATTAGCACTGGTTAGCCCCTAAGGAGGAGACCTTAGTAACAGGTTAGCAGGATTATCTACAGCTGACTCAGGTTAAAAGTGCTTTTTACATGTTACTTATAATCTCACTATTGCTTAGTTTCACCCTGTTACATGTTATTTGAGCTTCAGAATGATTTAGTGGAAATCTAAACATAATGCCAAATTAAAACTGCTTATAGAAGGCTTTTTAAGTAGTAGTATATTTAAAGAAGAACAGTGCATCGACCTTATGTGGTTTCTTGTGTTACATTTCTGAACATAAGATAACATCATATGCACACTCAGTATGTCTGCACAGCCAGACGTCTCTTTAGGAAGGATGAATTTCACCTAGAATTTTGAACTGAACTTTCACTAGATTTCTTCCTATTGCAAACATTGCCTAAAGAATACCTTCAGGAGAGGTTCAGTCTGAAACACTTGTTTGATCCTTTCTCAGCTCTGCACAGCTGGTGTTGGCAGCTTTGTAAAAGTGACAAATCAAGCCTCTGAATGAGCAGCCTCAGTACCAAGCAACCTGTGCAGGAACTCCCACCTAATCCAACAAGAAAATACAAGCATTAGCTATCGATGCTATGTATGCTCCTAAACCCTTGTGTGTTTATTACTATTTTTTTTAATTTGGTACAGCCATTTAGCTTTGAAGTGATGCAATAGCGTCCAACCTAAACACTTCATTCTTTTTCAGGGGTATTTGTAAACTTCCGTTATCTCTACAAGCAAAGGAAACAGCACCTTGGACCAAAGAAGAGAAAGATGAAGTAAAGGAGGACTGCAATGCTTTCTTATTTAACTTAATGAAAAGATAAGCCTCTAATTCTTATGGTTTTAGCCACTGTAATTTAAAGAATTTTGTAAAATTAAATGATCATACTCTATTTCATGATTTCATAGTGAATTCAGGTAACATTCCCATATACTGTATTTTGTTCCCTTTCAATCATACGTATGCATGACATTTACCACTGAACGGTTACATTTAAACTTGTATCCTATCAACTGCCATGTTAGGAAGAAACCCTATTATCTGCAATTATCTGCATATAATATGCTTTTAAACAGTGGAGCAGCACTAAATAGAAATAGCGTTTATCTTTTAATTGGGTATTTGCTCTTTCAATATTGCATGCAGATAAGGCTTCTGATGTTGGGATATACTGCTGGCTGGCCCATGCTGTTCCTGGGGGGCTTTGTGGTGGCACAAGGAGCACAGTCTGAGACCACTGCGAACAATGTTCGGATGTATATTAACGGTAGGGGTAAACTTGCTGAGCCTTCACGCCCCCTTTTTTTGGGCAGCATACTGATGTTGCAGAATTAAAACCAGAAGTAGCTGGCTGATGTCAATTTAAATGCTACATACCCCTTTAATCCGTCTCTAGTTTAGTCTGAACAAAATAGGGGCATTGTGTGGAGCATAGCAACACCCATATACCTGTAGCAGTCAGTAGGAAAAGGAAGCTGCAGCTCTGTCCCATGGTCAGAAATGCTTTCCTGATTGATAATGCAAGCACTGAAAAATAAGGAAACAAGGAAACACGGGTACCAGCTTTCTCCTAGCATGTGGAAACCAGAACAACTCCCTCCCAGTCATAGAAATGGAAATACCAAACAACTCTGATTGTTCCTGCCACAGCTGTAGCTCCTGCATTTATAGCCTTTGGAAAGGCAAAAATTACTGCTTTTCTACTTAAAACTTAGGGGTACGGCTAATAAATAGGTGTATGTGCTTTGTTGGCTGTTCCCTGTTGGGATGGAGTGGTGGGTCAAACAAATCATCTATTATTGTGATACCATATCAAATCTCATTAAGGGAGCTCCTGCGTAGGGTTTGAAGGGACCCTATTTCCTCTGTGCTTGCTTTAAATAAGAACAACGAGATCTGTTCCCCTTCCATTCCAGGACATGCTGTCTCTCACCTGGAAACCTTCATTTCAGTTGGCTTCATTTCAGCATGCCCTTCTGACACCTAGCCTCCTCCAATTGATTCCAGACCCCTTTGGCCCATTCAGTGAAGTTTAGGGAGTATACTGCAGGTGTGCTCTAAAACCACGTTGTGGTTATAAACAGGTTGCTTCACAACTGCTGCTTCCCCCAGGGCAATGTAAAGCAAAGCCAGCAATCCAGATCAGGCACTGAAGCTGAGATTAGCATCGTGCCATTTTACTACTTGCATTACCTTTTTCTACTGTAAAATGACGTGAATCCTCCAGAAAGTTATTTTCTATACTTAAAGATAACAAACAGCTTACTATTTGTGACATGGCCCCAGTGATTGCTACTGTAAAGGAAGGAAAATAATGCTGTAAAGAGATTATAAAAAAGAGCTGGTACAAGCTCCACACTGCATTTCACAATTGTGTTTTGTCAACAAGAGGCATGATGCAATTTCTCTTTAGAGATACTTGAGGCTCAGTTGCAAAGAAGAGTGCAGGTAACTTTCTCAGAAGAGCTGAGCGTTATTTACACACTTTCACTACAGCACACACTGTACATATGTTTGAAGTATGTCAAAGGACTGAACTAGCTGACTTGGAACAGCAAAGATCACTTTCATACTTTAATTACTGGGCATTTAAACTTCTGTTATAAAATCCATATGTACTCATACATGATATTTCTCAGTGAAACTGTGGTACCTAGTGCGAGCTGTAATGGATCTTACACTACTGAGTTTTAGTCCTTCAGAAAGAATGTGTTTCTATTAATAAAGATTTACAACCAGATTTTGCTTTGAGTTCAGTTATTTGCTCTTTTCCCTGAATGCATTAAGTTGTATAATTTACTACTCAATGCTCATGATAAAGAGCTGACATCCAACCATCACCAGGTCGATGTTTTAGGCCTGTGCATGCCTAAGCATGCACCCGGTAAGGTTGCTATGAAAATGGAGCGAAACCAACTTAAGTTTTCCTGAAGAATTACTCTTTATTAATATTACACAAATAAAAAAATTGTCTCAAAAGATTAAGTTACTTTTACAAGTACCAGCACTGCAATGCCAGTGATAATGTTCATTACTGCGGTACAGGCTAGCTTTCACGATGGGCACACAATTAGTGACAACACCCTGAAATTAGCTCTGTATCTGATTTTGCAGAGTGATTCTCACATGTTTTCTTTGGACTGATCAATTCCATGTATAAAATAATAGTAGCTGCCTTTTAGGATGCTTTTGCCAGTGATTTCAGTTATCTAGTAACCACATTCTTGGGAGGCCAAAAGCCACAAGGAGCGAGGCCTGTGATGGCATTTTCTTTCTCTCCTCACATGTACTAAGGAACCGACTCTGGGACACTTTCTGGTTTCCAGGCCTGACTGAAGCCACCACAGATTAGTTACACTTAAGAAAGCATTGATGCAGTAAAGGGCCCCTGTTTGAATAGGGAGTTCTCCAGCCAGTAATTAAAGAGGCCCTAGAAAGTAAACAGGACAAGAAAATTTGAACAATTTGAGTCTTAATCTGTAGAAGTTCCCAAACTGGAGACTTCACATTCTTTCAGTGCCAGTACTGGGAAAGTCTGTCTGCAGTGGAGCAATGTTATGATCATAGGCAGCGTATTCAGAAGCCCCAGTACTTGCCACTTTAAGCTGCTGTGCAGCATGCGTGAGCTGAAACGCTGCATCGGGATGAGCTGTGTCAGGCAGCAGTGTGCACTCCCGCTCCAGCATGTCTGCCACACCTTTCAAGAGGTCCAAAAAGCCAAAGGCCAGGGCTGCCTTTCGTAAACGGTTCAGTTCCTGCAAAGAACAAAAACTCCTTGTAAAGCCGCTGTGACCCTTCATATAAAAATGTTTTACTTTTTTTTTGTTTTTAAAGGTAAGCTTATTCACTATAAGGAAAATAACCTGAATAGTTAGTAGAACTGCTGGCAGCTGCCCAGCTGCTCACGACATGAAAAATGTTTCAGGGCTGAGGATTATAGTGGCACAGCTAAATAGCTGGTTTTCCCTTCATCCCTTCTTAGAAATTCTTTACTTCTTCCTTCACCCTTCTGTGCATTCAGCTATTGTGCCTGCCTATTCCCCGTGTCCATGCTGAGAGTGGCTTCCAAGTTGGGCTTCACTGACTGCTGCCTCTAACCATAGCATCCAGCAAAATGTATATACATGTATATATTGATTTTTCTTCACTGTAAACTGTGATGAATGCTTGTGTGCATTTAGTCAGTGTATTCATTCTTGAAGTCTCTGGGGCTACAATAATAAACTGCTTCAGTACTTCACTTACAAGAGGACCAACAATTACTTCCAGATACAGTCTACATTACAGACTGTTATGATGTGACTAAGAGTGCCTGGAATTTTGTGTTTTTCTGCTTCACTTGCAGAAGAAATTGTAGGAGATATTTTGAGATTCAGAATGACATGTGTTCTTATTCCTCTCTGATCCCTCAGTCTATTTCTGCCTGGACAACAGCATAAAATCTGCATAAAAGTTCACCATCAAGGTAGCAAGGATCATGAGGGGCACCTGTAAACATGATATTCTGCATCACCCTGACAGAATGCGATGTCAGGAAACCAGACTCCGGTGTCTCACCTTCACTAATCTGTAAAATGGACCCACGATGACTCTTTACAGAATAATGTGCATTTCTGCAGAGCCCTATAAGCCCTGCACAGAACATCCCACAGACAACTGACAGTATGTGCTCCTCTGTCAGAAGCACCACTATCACTATAGATCAAATTTGGTCAGACAAGTAAAATTACTCACTTTATAGAAGGTTTGAGTTTTTTCAGGGAGTTTTCTTGCATTTCTCAAGATCTTCTGTACATCAGTCTGCAGAAAAAAATAGAAAAAATCTTGGCAGCTGCAGAAAAAAAAATCCTCAACTATATTGATAAATAATCCTGACCATTGACAAGACTACAGCTCACAAAGACTGAAACATAAACGGTAATTATACTAAATCCAATAAACTAAGCCAGATGCTACACGGGAGATGCGGCTTTCATTAAACAGCATAAGCTTTCTGATTGCATTTTAATCATGACATTTTAAAGAGTTTATAAAAAAAAAAACAAAGCCATCACATTAAATGGACAACACACAGACTCCAACTTGCTGCTTAGATAGCTACCGCTGTTCACAGTAAAGCACCAAGTACAAAATCTGTGTCATTACCTGAAGGCCACTTGGTTTAATCCATACAGTAACATTCTGTGCATAACTGCGCTTGTTCTTGGGTTGCAAGGGAAAAGGGCTCTTATTGTCATCATCTCCATACGGATTTTCTTTTGCATCTGGAATAAAAAAGGAAAAAGACTTAGTGAGTAATATCTGTCCTGGTTATTCTCACAAGAAAATACCGAATGCACAAGAGTTACTCAAAGGAGTGTAACCAGTACCTGAAATAGGTCCAAGCTGTGCCATCTTCCCTAGCCAAGGAAGGGGCTCGGGACCAGGTTCAAAGAGTGACATCATGAGGTTTGATTTCTTCTTGCTATCAGCTTGTGAATAGAGCATTCCATACCACTCTGGCCTATTGAAAAGAAAAAATCACAAAGGCTGAAAAAAAAATTTATATTTCTCTTAACCCAGAATTTGCCTCCCTTCCACTGTGTGTATTTGTAATTTATACTGGCAGAAACAGATTTACCATTAAAAATCCACGGCTTTACCTAGTAATGGAGAATTCTCTACAGAGTAAAGCACAAATAAGCAAGGTAAGAGAGATTTTTCAGGAAGACATCCAGCTCCATACCCCAACTGAACGACAGCCACCATGCCTTCCACTTTCAGGCTCCCATGCAACAAAACACAGAAGTTGGGGATTTTCCCAGCAATCTGATTAGCTGAATTCTCATCTTCGGTGTCATCTGTGATCCCAGGTCCCACCTCATCACCTTCTGAGGAAGGAAAGCAAACAAAGAGATGACATGAAAATAAATTCAGTCCCATTAGTGTATTTCCGTGATGCTTACCACCCTGTATCCGCTGCCATGAAGCATCTTCAACACAATTGCACAATTCTGTGAAGCTACTTGTTAACTGCTTGTGTGTTTTCCTTTCTTAAGAAAGGCTCTTGTTCTCCCCACACCCACGCTATTGTGAGAACTGATCATATTTTAATATTTGAATTTCTGAACACAACCACCAGCACCCCTCACAGCAGCAAAGGCTGAAAAGACTACCGCTTTCTAACCTTACAGCTACCTGATCCACTCACAGTGCTCTTTGTACAATTACTCCCTAGCTTGTGCCAGTCAAAATTAGTTTGGCTAACAAAGACTCACTTTATTTGTTTAAGTTACCCAACTCATTCCCAGCATGCAAGCAAACCGGGGTGAGGGCACGTAATTCTAGGTAAAGGAGCAATAAAAGGCAGGTAGAAGTGGCAGTGACTGGCAAATTCTTCTGCTGCAGCTGCATGAGACTGAATCAAAACAGGCCTGCTGGACAAGCCAACCTTAATTAATACTCCCATAGAATATACAGCTGTTAACTGTTGAGACAAATGTTAAAGTTATATAACTCTATCTATAAAGTTAGATAATTATTTCTATCACATTCTATTCATGAAAATTCACAACGTTAATAAATAACTCAAAAACAAAACCTCAACTTCAAAGAAATGAGAAGTGAAACCCAGAAGTACCAAAAGTCTGGCAATGGATACCATTGCTGCTTCTGAAACAAAAGGATCCTGAATCTCAAGTCCACCTCCCCTATGCAATTTATGGTAATTGTGAGAAACTTACAATGTTTTAGCAGCTGGAATACAGCTGTGATTTAACTCTTAATATCTTCTAAGGTGAAAGGCCTAGCAGGCTAAGAGCACTAAAAGAGATGAAAGCACATCTGGTGCTCTCATTCTTCTTTACCAGGAAAAATCTCACTTTCTTTTAACTCCACTCCAAGGCCATGACAAAAGGACATGGGAAACCTTTCTTAGCACATACTGATGCAGACAAGTAGCTACAAGTCAGTGATATGCTTAACCATCCTTGCAGCCTACACAAGATACGTATGTACTTGGACCCAGTGAATAGTAATTAATGCTCAAGCACCACTGAGCAATCTTGTTAAGATCAGATTTTTCACAACAAATCATTCCAAGAAGCAATCAGAAACAGGCATTAAGTCTTCATCTTGCACCACTTACTTCATGACCCATAGCTATCTGTAGTTTTTAGTTCAGTATGCTCTGTTAATAATGCTGGTATAAGGACACCGATCCCTCTACCAATTCACTTCTTTGTGTGCATGCAAATTGTCTAAAGAGCACACTATTCAAAAAAAAAGACAAAGCCTGTGTTCAAGGTTTTAATTTTAATGTAACCATGAAAATGTGTTCTCAGAAACATGTAGCACTCTGATAAAGCATGAAGCTTTTGCTTCTAATTGAAACCACAATGGCCATTACAGGAAAAGCTTAAAGCAGTTTTTGCTACAACAAAAAGAATTTGCTTACCTCTGTTAAGTGCAATAGGCAGCACCAAGTGTCTGGATAAGACAGGAGGGCTAGAAATGTCAGCTATATCTACAAAACCAACAATTTCTAGATCTGTGGGGAAAAAACAGGTTTAAGTCTAATTAGAAATAGAATGTATTCAGTTTCATCACAACTTCTTACACCACTACGTTTCTGAATCAGTGACTAAGGTAGCACAACAGAATCCTGACCTTGACTGGGGTCTCTAGGTGTTAATATGACACAAACATTCATATCTACATGAATACGTGAGCAATTTTGATGCTACAATTGAAACTTCACTCTTGAAGCAAAGCAGCGAAGCTCAGTGTTCTCTCCAAGGTGCGCACCTATCCGTTCATAAGTGAGAAATGCTAGGATGACAAACAAAGATAGTGCAAGCACAAGCTGAGATTTATAAAGTATCTGTCTCGCTAACTCTTCCCAACTTAAATCCTAGTGGACTCCCTGAAGAGGCCTCCAGAAAGATGTTAATTTGTCTCATCTGAGAATAAGGGATCTTTTTGATAATGGCAACTCTAATATAAAAATACAGCCCCTTCTCCAACACACTACTTTAATCCTCTGTTAATCTTATGAAGGTATTTGTGGAAAGCAGTCTGTGGCTGTCTTCCACAATCCCTATCCCTAGAAATTGGCTTGCTAAGTTTTAAAAGTGCCTCTGCTCTACTCCAGCCCTTTCAGCAGGTACACATCTGAAACAGGATGAGGTTTTTGTCCCCTGAAGCCGCATATACCAAGAAATTACATGATCAGTGATTGATCTTCAGAGAGAAAGCAGGTGCAACAGTAACTATACAGGAAAAGAGATGGAAGTGAAAAGGTAGAAATCAAACAGATTGATGTAAAAAACAATAAAAAATGTTACCTGTATTAATTGCTTTAGGAATGGGGTCTATTTCCTCATCTATAATGAAAGGTTCTGGTCTGGGAAATACTTGCACATCAGATGTTAAGTGGCCACACTTGAGAACAGCATGGAATGGTGTATAAGCCAGGTCTATTAGCTTTCTAGAACATGATCAGTTATCATTAAGGAAAAAATAATACATATCAAATGAAAATAGTTTGTCTAAAGCATGCTAACTAAGCTCCCAAAACGTTCCTGTGTGTGACTAGTCAGTTCTGGCACTGCCAATTTATGAAACAAAGCAGCACATTATCATATTGATGGCAAATTAACAAGTCTGGAAATTAGTATCTTCTACCTGCCAATCATAATAAATTTTATGGTTTGGTTACAGAATGATTAAAATAAATACTGACCTTGAACAACAAAGGTCAGGATTAAAGTTTAGTTAACACAATCATACACTAAAAGATAAAACAGAATATCCCGTATCATAAGATTTTTGCTGTTTGTTTTCCTTTACACATACTAACTGGAAAGCTTCCAAAGTCATGTTATCTAAAAGTCTACTAACCCAAACATAGACTGGACGTTCTTCAGGCAAAGTGGTCCATCAATGGTAAAAATTTGCCCTTCCCCGTTGTTCAAATCTATGAGCCGTTCCAGGCAGTCTAAGGAATCCGTGCTCTGAAGCTGTACAAGCATGAAGTGAAATGTTTTTGTTAAGCTTTCTTACTCTTCTTCTTTACCAGTGTGTTTTCAGAACATATACACAACACAGCAAAATTTTATCTTACTCCTTTCTGCATAAACCAATATTCTTTGTCTCCCAGGAAATGTACTCCTTATGTTGCATTTATATTATAGCAAATGCAGTATTTGATCCAGAAACATAAAATATATTGCTTTTTCATATTAGGTTCTGCTTCAAAAAGCAACCAATAACTACAGAAGCTCTCGGTCTTTAAGAGCACCAGAATACCATAAATATTAGTGTTTTATTTGTAATTCTAAGTTTCCAGCTCCTTCAAGACAATTTAATTTTTAAGAGGAAAAGAATACAAAAGTGTGTTTTGTGCTGATATGATCATTAGATCAGATAAGAACAATAATTATCCAGCATAATGATGAAAAAAGCATATGTTAAAGGCATCACCTCTTCAAGATTTGCCATGCACATGACATACAACTTGGACGGGAATGGGAAAGGCAGTGGAAATCGGTTGCTTTCGCTCCTCTGGTTGTGAGTAGCTAGTGAGTGTCGTAGGGAGCCTCTGCCGATCCCCAAGCAGCCATCAGTGACAAGAACAACCTTAAAGGAGAGAGGATAGATTAGCATTTCCAATTAGAGACATGTTTCTACCTGTGGAGGACAACACTTCAGGAGTCTTCCTAGCAGCATGCTCTTCTATACTGAAAACCCTGACTAAAGAATTGTGAGTAAAGTTTCCAGAACCAGGTACATAAATGAGAAATTATAGGTTTAAGCACTGCAATTAAATTACGTGCATAATAAATATACGTTTCATTGCAATTAGGCAGTTGCACTGAAAATTGAATTCTATGGCTAGAAACACACCACGCTGTGCAGGAACATTCCCAGTTTTAAATGTACACTAGAACTACCATGATTATACAGCCAAAAAAGCAGTCTGCTGCTAGCAGATTTGGGAACTTCAGGTTTACCTTCGGATGGAAGATAAAGGCCAACTATGATCATTTCTTTGCAACAGCTGGAGGGCAACCCAAGTTCCAGTACAGGCCACAGAAGCCATACAAAAGGTAGTATTAATTACTGTAATTCTTTGCTAACAAATACAGCTGCAGCATGCTCACATTTTGCAGCAGAACTATGAAAGCTGAAATAGACATTTTTCCACTTAATTGCAAGTCCACTGTCACTTCTTGTAGAAACCTGTCCTAATAGGTTACCTTGAATAATGGAACTCTACACACTCAGCTGAGACCCAGTCATTTCTAGAGGAGTAAAATAACTGCTTTTTCAGCGCTGCACAGCTACACCAGGCATTATTTTTTGGCTGAGAGGTAAGGAAAATCAAATCCAACTGGAACCCAGCAGGCATCTGTTACAGCCAGATTTTTACTCTCTCTTAATCCTCAATCTCCCCACTAACCATCTGAACTGTTGCTCAGCAGCAATGCTTTTTACTATTAGAAAATTCTGCACAGTGCATTCCCCGCTGCCTTTCATCACCCAATAACCTGAAGTTCCAGTACAGCAAATCATGACACAAATGAGAGACAAAATTGTTGAGATCTAATCTATGCTTGGCTTTTACATCTTTCTAGTTCTTTGTGTTGAATAACTGCTTTTCCAAGGTGCCTTTTATCCTGGTTAGATTACAAAGCATTGTCTAGACAATCAACTGCTACCCTCTTTCTCTGAAAGGAATATTGCTTGTGAGATGTTCCTAGCTCACTGAGCTGCAAAATTACTGAATTTATATCCTAACCCAAAGAGCAACAGGCTCATAGTATCTCGGAAAATTGAGGGCTAAAAGCAGTCTCTGCCGTAAGAGACAGCAAATTCAGAAGGCTGAGAGCTGCAAAGGCTGGATGGAATGTGTGAGCAGATGCACGCTAAATGACTCAGTAGGGAGAGAAGACAGATCAAAACACACTCAGCTGTACTCTGTGCTGTTGTCTGAGACTTGGAACTGTGACAAGCCCTGGAAACCATCAGGTACCAGAGCAGAAAGGTTACTGTAGGTGTGACTACACTCCCTTCCCAGGAGCCTTGGTCAGCTTGGAAGAACATCACATCCAGATCAAATGCTAAGCCTTCAAAAGAGTACTTTTGAGCCAAATTTTACAACTTAAAAGGTGTGTAAAGGGAACATCACTGATACGCAGCATCCCCAAACACTTTTCTGTCCAATGTGTTGTAGTGGAGAGAACTGTACAGTTTCTAACTTCTTTCTGTTCATATCCCAGGTCTATCTAAAATGTTAATTCTTCATCTTCCTCTAGTACCAGAATGCCTGTGAATATTCAAACTTTTCACATTACATTTGCATTTCCTCCTGCAGCTTACAGGGAGTATTGAGGATATGCTACCTCCTCTGAACAGTGAAAATCAAACATACCTGGCAAGGAATTGCTGCACCCCATTCTTGTTGGACAATATTGCAAACCCCAAGCAGTGCTGACTCTAAACAGGTTTTGTCGTAATCATCCATGTTACTTAGAGCTTCCTGTAAAAACAAACACCACAGTTATTGCTGGGTGAAAAATCACTACCAGCAAACAGAGAGTATTCACAGTTCTGTGGTAAGCCAGTATGTTTGCTTTGTAACACAACTGCATTGCAACACAATACAACAGGCTATATGCTCACATATGACCTGCAAAGATTAAGAGAGAGAGAGAGAGAAGAAATTGTGAACAGCATCATGAGACAACTACAACAGCTAGTTTTGAAGGAACTCTACTATCTAGTATTTGCATGTCTCAGAGAAAAAGAGGAAAGTAAAAAACTGAATCGATGTCTAACTTGAAGTATTAATTTCCAATCCTATTCTGTAATATATGAGCATTAACAACATTTTGCATGCCTGAACATTCCAGCTCCACACATACTGCAAACCACCACCTCATTGCTCAAAGTGAATCACATTTCTTTCCTCCATCAAGGCCCACTCAAAAAGACCGTGAAGACGTGACACCTCAGAATGCCAGGTTTAGTGGCCTCGCAATGCAGCTCAATGGATTTTAGCTTAGAAAATCCTCCCAGGTGTCAGAATAACTCCAACTTCTCACAGATTCAGAAAGTAGGCCACAAGGAGATTGTCTCACGAAAACACTTCAGCAGAGAGTAAGAGAATCCAAAACTCATATCCTATTTCTATAACCGTAAACCAGCTTTTCTTCTTAGAATGAAAACTTCACACTTAACACCACATAGTAAGAAGGGTGCAGCTGTAAAACTAACATGCTACGGGAGCTCACTTGGATTCTTGGCTTTCAGAAATTCCCTGAGGGAAAAATTAACCAAAGAGAATGTACTGGCCTTCAAATGGTAAAATAAAAACCTAACAGAGAGTATCTTGTAAAATCTGTTGCACAACTGAAAACTTAATGAATACATTGTGACCTATGACACTGACATATCATTCTTTCTTAATAGTATATATGACAACCAGATACACATGTACAATTTTTATTGGACTAAGACTTTCAAAGCCTTACAGCATTCATATCAAATTTCTCTCTCAGACTCTACCCTTTCCACGGTCTCTCCACTTTCCATCACATCTGCAAGGCCTAAAACCCCTTCGTTCTCATTCTTACCCTGTTTCAACTGGTACGCACTGTTAAAAGCATCTTCTCTCTACCAAATCACTGGACTCAAAATCTTTCTAAACACTCCTGTCCACCTCACCATTTATCAAAATCAACAACTACAGAAAAAAGTGTGTCACAAAAACTTCAACCCTTTCCTCTTGGTTTTCTCACTCCCTACTTTTAACTTAATTAACAATGCTTCAGAGGTCACCTGCAAAGGTATGATTTGTTAAGCAGTGGAACACTTCACATGCATTGATTTCACCTGTCTTTAAAATAAGGATAAAACACTGTGCTTAAGACACTGTGTACAGGACAACATGAAACCACATAACTTTTTTTTTTTTTAATTGACAAGTGACTGCTCTGGGGTTTCACGCACCCTACCTGCAGCGTGTTGTAATCTCTTGTAAATGGCACCATCAGCTCCCAGAGCGACGAAAACACCACCAAGGCCGTGAACTCCAGCTTGTAGTTGGTCGCCATGTGCTCGAAGAGCATGGTCAGGCCGTGCACCGCCAGGTGTTTCCGCTGGTACTCCTCGGAGCCCTCCACCGACACCGGCCGTGTCATGGAGAGCGACACGTCCATCACCACCACCGTCGGCATGATGAGCTGCTCCTCTCAGCTACCTCAGCAGAGAACAGAAATCCACTGCATGACAGCAAAAAAAAGCCACAAATGATTATTAAACAACAGCTACGGGGCAACATGTCTTGCCCTGACCCTGCCAGGCTCGCCCCACACCAGCCCTTGCCCTCTGCAGAAGGGGAAGTCCCACTTAAGTTTTACGCCCAAAACTGGGTTTTTAGCACAGATTATGGCAGAAAATAAACCAAAAGTGCAGGATCTGCTCCTGGGGGGCTAGGAATGCCTGGCAGCAGCATGCCCGCCCTGGGACGAGCCTCAGAAAGCAGAGGAGCCGCAGGGACCCCCCGAGAAGCCCGGGAACCCCAGCGGGGGGGGGGGGGGGAGACCCCTCCTCAGCGGCCCCTCTCCACGGAGCCTTCCCCGCTCCCCCCGGGGACGGCTCGGGGGGGTTCGTGGATTCCCGTCCCTGCAGCCCCGGTGGTGCTGGAGGCGGAGGAGGCGGTGGTGGAGGTGCCCGGGGAAGGGGGAACGGAGGCTCCGCCGCGCTCACCCCCAGCCCGCCCGGCCGCCATGGGTCCGCCGCACAAAGCGTTCCCCGGAACGATGCGGCCGCGGCTGGAAGGGGCCGGGCTGGGTCGGGGTTATCGGAAAGGACGGGACTGGTACCGGGGTCGGCACCGGGGCCATTCCCCGCAGTCCACCGGCCCTGCTCCCTACAGATATCGGCCCCACAGCCCCCTCACAAGCGGCCGCGTTGAGCCCGGCAGCGCCCGGTGGGGTCTCAGCCCCCACCCCCACCTCTCCACATGCCGAGCGCGGGACCTCAAAACCCCTCAAAATGTTGATTTCGGCCAATAACCTGCAGCTGTGTGGTATTTCTGCGGTGCAGAGCACACAGTGTTGTTTAAAATGTTAATAGCCCCTCTCAGAAAACAGGCGAATTAGTTCAGTGCATAGAGCAAAGTGTGAGGTGTTTGAGGTACGGAATATAAGGCCTTGGTGCCTCATTGAGCTTTTTGCAGCTTGGTCTGAGGAAGAACTTGAGCTCCCCTTCTGTGTAGAAGCACACTTGTATCAAAACAAACAAACAAACAGAAAAACTGGCCAAGAGGTTTTTCTTGCTGTTGTCTGGGGAAGGTCCATGAGCACTGGCAAAACCCAAGAGGACAGAGAGGCTATTTGAGAAAGGGAAAAACTCAAGAATTTTCCAATAAACATTAATTCTTCCTCACAGAAGTGCATCAGAGGAGAAAATAACCATGGGAAAAGTAATAGCCATAGAAAAGTGGTCACCAGGAGCCCAGTAAGTCGCCTGATTTCTGATATACGTAAAGTGGCTGACCTGCATCGTTCTCACCTGCATCTTACACAACTGGAAAAACAGTGTTATCAGTAAAGCTGAAGCAATCTAATTTAATGCCACTACTCTGGAAAAGTACAGCAACAATCAACAAAGACAGCTGTATATAGATAAAAGGTTAGGAAAAAGCATCCAAGTTGGCTGAGGGACGTCCTTCTTCCACCTCAGTAAACATGGGGGTGAGCATGAGGGGTGTCGGTGAGCTCGGCTGCAAAGCTTGAGTGTACCATTTCCATTCAGACAAGTTTGTTTTAAAGTTATCAATTCAGAATCTTCTTGTTCTTCTGTTGAAGTGACCGCTGCACCACACAGAGAAGCAAGGTGATTTACCCCAGCAGTGGACAGCTCTTCCACAGCTGATGGTAGGTGTCTCAGAGTTGGTGCTTTTACATTGTAGTTTTTACTGGAAATTATCGCCTGCCCTCATACTGAGAATAATCTGTAGTAGCAGACAAAGGTATTGGCTTCAGAGATAGACCCAAATCTATACAATACTGTATAATCTTCTTAGGGTTGCAGGTATTAAACTGGATTGGCTATTCCTTCAGTAATATGTCCTTCACAACTGACCCTCTCTTGTATTAGAACTCTGTTGCAGAGGCATCGTGAAAATGGGATCATTTTCATCTGCCTCGCCCTGCACCAGCATCTCCCAAACGGCTGTTAAGTATCAAAGAAATTTCCAGCACTACGTTCAACCGCTGGTATTCCTCATCCTTTTGGACAGCATCTTTGTAAGGTAAGCTGTGGAATTTCATATGATTGCTTGAGATCTCTTTTGACTGAGACAGTCCAACCAGTGAGAAAGGAGCTGATCAGGACCTGACTTGTAAGACACAATATTCTCTGGAAAAGAAGTGCTGAAGTTACAAAACTAGAGGAAGCAAAGGGGCTGATGGTCAGGTATTGCTGAAAGGCTGGAGAGCTCATAACAGTTCATCCTAGCTTTGGTTATAGTTCTTGCAAAAGGTCTATTTAAACAGCTTATTCCGGAGAGGAGTAAAACTGAGCATTTAAATAGGGGGATGTATTCACATGTCTTCTGTTCCCCGTGTGTCTTTCTTTTCACTCTTTTATTTTTATTAGCAAGGGTTATTTGCTGTTAATGTGCAATTTGTGGTAAGTATTGCATTATTCAGTTCTGCCATATGCATGTTCATGTACTTTTTGCATATCAAAAGCAAAGCTTATACCATCTATTTATCTAGGTACTCCCATGACCCTCTATTACTGTTGCCTTAGTGATCCTCCCAACTATTTAAAAGAAGATAATAATGCCTGTCTTGCAAGAAATTTAGGCTGATTACTTCACTGGGTGTTATGCAAGAGGGTAAGTGTGCTAACTTGCATGAAGAGCTTATCTGAGAATGGCTTACAAAACTGTGATTCACATCCAGCTCAAGAATAGAGGAAAAAAAAAAAAAGAGAGAGAATCCATGAAGAGTGATATTCTAAGGTAAAACATCCAAGCAGTGCTGAAGGGTAAATTCTGTCCAGCCCCTAGTCACTGTCTCCGTACTGTCACAGATGTAGGCTCTGTTGCTCTAGCATTTATCATTTGTCTCTCTTTCAAAATGCTGCTCAAATAATTGTGCAAGATATGCTAATTATCCCCTAATAAAAGGTATGATTACAGTTCTACTTTGCCAGCTCTGTCTTCTACAGAAAGGCTGGAAAATATGTAGTCATAGAAACAAATGGAAGCTCAGCACCCCAAGTGTTACTAGAACTGAGCCTTCCTTTTGCTTTTCTCAAACTGGAAGTAAAGGCTCACCATTTGCTTGGCTTATATTCTGTGGGAGTCAAGGCTGGAGGGCCACAGAGCAGCATTGTTGGGAACTATCAAACAGTTTTCATACACCTGTTGAGGTTACCTAAGTGAATAACTGGTCTGTTTCAAGGGAGGTTTTAACAGCATGTGTTTTTCTTCAGAGCTTCTTTTCTAGCAGTTTAGAGTGCTAATAGGCTCCTTGATAGAAGCCATATCCTCCCTCCTGCAGAATGCTGGCCCAATTATTAATATTGCAAAATAACTAATGGACTCCAGTGAAAACACAAACCTTAATAGCTCCTCGATGTGAGCATTGAGTGGATCAGAATTCAGCTCAGATTGGACCATCTCAGACAATGCCTGCCTTTATTAAGCTAGACCTATGATTATTAATCAGCATAGCCTCCAGCAGTAAAAAAATACAAAGGTAGAAACTTGAATTTAGATCTTACTTTACTGGTTTAGGTCCATTTCTATTTATTGAAAAATAGAAAAGCACTCACTGATTGAATGTTACCCATATGGTAGGAGGTTGCACTACTTTCTTTTTCACACTAGACCTTCTTTTGCAGGATTCTACACTTTGTGTCATGCAGTTTCACTCCTGATGCCTAAGATCAGTTAGCAGCTCCAATGGTGGATATAAGCACAAGCTGCTGATCAAGAGAAGTCTTCAGTGGCTTCTGGACACAGACCTGATTTTTGAACCTTTAGGAAATGCATTTACCACGGAGAAGGCGGCTACAACGGAACCGAATCTTTTTCTTGCTTGCCATAGTGTTGCTCCTCTCTGTCTACCAGCTCCAGTTCAGCCCCTCTGCCCTTCCAGCACTGCACACATCACCCCAACCCAAGGACCCCGTGAAAGTGACCTCCAGGGACCTCTCCAGCAACAAAACTGTCACAACAGGCAATGTCACAGCAGCACCCAAAATAAGGCACTGTGTATATGTGGATGCTGAGCCAACTGTGCCCACCACTACATCAGTGGGAACAACACCACAGCGAGAAAATGCCAGTGAAAGCTACCCGGATGAAAAGCCAGCATATGAGTCCAAAGGAGAATATCCCCAGGACCTATTCAGTGTGGAAGAACGCAGGCAAGGGTGGGTTGTACTTCACATCTTTGGCATGATGTATGTATTTGTGGCCTTGGCCATAGTGTGTGATGAGTATTTTGTCCCTGCTTTGGGAGTGATCACAGAGAAGTTGCAGATCTCTGAAGATGTGGCTGGAGCCACCTTCATGGCAGCAGGTGGATCAGCACCAGAACTCTTCACCTCCCTCATAGGTGTCTTCATCTCACACAGCAATGTGGGCATCGGTACCATTGTGGGCTCAGCGGTGTTTAATATCCTCTTTGTCATTGGCACCTGTGCCCTCTTCTCAAGGGAGATACTACACCTGACATGGTGGCCTTTATTTAGAGACATCTCATTCTACATTGTAGACTTAATGATGCTCATCCTGTTTTTCCTAGACAGTGTCATTGATTGGTGGGAAAGCCTCCTTTTACTGACTGCCTATGCCACATATGTGTTCACTATGAAATACAACGTGTACCTAGAACAATGGGTGAAGCAGGAGCTGAACAAGAAGCTAAGTGCTGTGCAGGCAGCATCAGCAGAGCACATACGGAAGGTTGGTGTCCTTATTGTTCAAAGGGCAAGTTGGAAATAATTCATTCTGTCATAAAACACAATGAAAATCTGCATCTCCTTGACAAAGTGCATACTCAAACAGAACAGACTCCCTTGAGTCTGCCTGTACACTTCTCCTCTGTCCATTCCCCCTGCTCCTACTCCTACTGCATCTTTGTCCTCTTGACTGGTGCTACTGCCAGCTGTGGAGCAGAGATTTCACACTGTCCTCTGGCATTGGCATGGT